AAGGACAATCACTTTCAGTATAGTCTTTTTAGTTACGGTAACTTTTCAACGGTAAGAAAGGCAGAGAAAATGAGACAGAAAAGGGATGTGTCAAGCTATCCACGACAGGTAACAGACTGTCCGATTGTGCTCTTACCAACCCACTTCTATTCGTTTTCTATTGCGTAAACAGAGACAGCTGAACAAGGTGCCTCGGAGACCCTTGAGGCCATGAGTGAAGGCATCAGCGCCGGGGACCCTGCTGCAGTAGCGCAGGCAGTGGAGACCTTTGAAGAGGATGTAGAGAGCCTGCTTGATAACGCAGAAGACATTGGTCTTGAGTCCCCTGCTCTAGGTATTCATATTAGACATATAGATATCTTAAAATAAGTGGCTAGCATGCTAAGCATACCTGCGCACATATAATGGCCAATAGGGAAATTTGTGTCACAGCCTAAAGTTCCTTGTGGTAAGGTCACATAGCCTACAGCGCATCTAAATACAAATTTGAGATTAGCAAAAAAATTTTAGCTACCGTCCTAGTGTGCCGCCATGTTGTCACCGCCATGTTTGTTTCAAATCGTTGTGTTTGATGGGAAGGGGGTTCGCCATTTAATTTCCCGTCATGCTAAGATAGTGTTGTATGAGAAGGTTTGTCAACATTTGGTTTATTATGATTAATGAAAAAGTGCTTATTATTTGTTTTTGTGATCCTAACATTGAAAGAAAAAGTTATTAGCATATTCAATAGTAAAGTTCTTTTATTCACTGTTGGTACAAGTCATTATGAAATAAAGACTAAGATGTAACTTCCGATACTTTAAGTTAAAGCTTAGTCTTTATTTCATAATTATTTTATTCACAACCATTTATTTCACATGAGCCGACGTTTTGATGACCGTCTTGGTTATGATTCAATCTCTAACTCCCTCTGTGTAAACTTACATCAGACGAAGCAAGAGATGCCGTTGAGGAGGCCGAGGCTGAGGTACAGGAAGCGCTAGAGTCCAACGACGTTGAGGCTGTTGTAGAAGCACAGGAGCATTTACAGGAGGAGTTTGAAGACCTCCAACAGAACATCGATGAAGCAGAGGAGGCACAAGAGCAAGAGGAGGAGACAGGTGTGACAATATAATGTATTCTTCTTTCCTCCCATTGTTATGTCACAAATAGTTTATATATGGGCATCACACATGCTAAAATGTACATGTTGCCTCTTTCGAAGAAAAAAAGCCTCAAAACAAGTCTGACAAAGCTAGGTCATATCTACTCTCCAAGCAGAGGTTGGTGGGGAAAATTTGACCTTTATAATATGTCCCATTTTTGTCACTATCCCCACCAACAGACAGAAAAAAGGTGAAGCTACAGAATTATTGTGGCCTATTAAAAGTTCACAATATTCCCCACCAACCTCTGCTTGGACAGCAGTCAAACGTTGTAATTGAAGCTTTTTTACTTATAAATAGAGATAACATAGTCAACATATGAAAAGTAGTATTATTTAGAAAAGCGAAAATACTCAATGATTCGGGTTTATTTCTTCCAGAGGCCGCCCAAGGACAGATTTCGGACACACTCGATGAAATGCAGGAGTTGATCGCAGAGGGAGACACCGAGGCCGGAGAAGAAACATTTGACCAGCTTGAGCAGGTGGTTGATGACTTCGAAATTGCTCTACAAGACTCTGAACTGGACTCACCGGCTGTCGGTAAGAACCTGTTTTTAATTCTGTTCATTAAAAGCAGGTACTACAAAACTTCAATTGCTCTTCTGTCTAATGTAAACTTAAGCAGTAACTGGAACGCATTTTGACGCATATGCCATAGATACGGGATTTGCTCGTAAACTTGCTCGGAAAGTTACATAATATTATTCTTTGGTGCACTTTTGACGTAAAACGCGGTAGATAGATAAGCCTATCTGGTTTCATAGTTAAATTTGGGTAGTAAAAGATCAACGTCTTTCCGCCGAAAAATCCTGTTGAAAAGCTGCCGATTTCTACTATTTTTTTTTCAGTCTGCAAAGGAGTCTGGTGGAGATTATTATTTTTAGGAGCCTCCTAAAAGTTTTGCATAAAATCGCATCAAAATGACTTTCTGTACTACAGATGCCGCCCTGGAGACAGCAGAGGCAGCACAGGACGCGGTCCAAGAGGCTCTTACCAGCGGAGATGAAGAGGAAATCGAAGAAACCATCTCAGAACTCGAAGAGGCCATGCACGAGGTTGAGGAAGCAGCAGAGGAGGCCCAGGAGGACGCAGATGCTGCGGAGGCTGCAGGTCGGTTCGTTTTTTCTTACATTTCCAGTTTTCATCTCTCATCTCATCTAACATTAGAATTTGGTCACATCCGTCCTATGTAGGGTAGTCGTGTCGTAAGCAGAATCACATCAGAATCAGAGTTGTGTCTGTAGAATGCACAGCTGTCTTAGTTTGCTGCTGGCAGTTATTTTTCGCAGTGGTCCTGCTACATTGAATCCTACAACATCAAATATCACCACGACCTACGTACGACGGATGTACTCACGCCGTTATTACAAATAGACGTAAACTATTAGCACACTCTTATATC